AAAGTAATTAAACGCGATAAAATCCGTAAATAATAGTTTTATTCAATGTGTAGTGTTCGCGTAAATTTAAGAAATCATTACAGTCAAGGATATTTTTGGTCTACTTCACCATTCCGTAGGACTAGAATCTCGTGAAAGCCGAAACAAACGGCAAAGAAAACAAAACATCTGGACCTGGTTCACGAGGTGACTGACATGTGGAGTGGTCTGCCGACCGAAATTATACGTATGGTCGTTTCTGCAAATGGGATAATCCTGGTCGGCCTCTCGTATCATCTGTGGTGACTTAGACTCCGTGACAGACTGCTCCGGGCCCAAATGTAGAAGGCGGTATTCCTCGAAACCGCTCGCATCGTCCGCCGGTTTTTTTTTTACCTTTCTCCTTTACCCTTGACTATTTGATCCTCCATGCCCAGGGCCTCCATCTGGTTGTGTTTTTATTTATTAATTCATTTATTTAGTTATTAATTAAACTTTATTGATATAGATTTATATATATGTTTATCATTTTCATTTATAAATTTATACAACCAAATACATGAGAAAACTATAAATACCCCAGAGCTATTAGGTTTATATAGGTGATGTTGCGTAGACCTCCCCCAAAACTTGCCTCAGTAGGATATATGGCACAGTTGGCACGCCTGGCAGGCGAATCGAAAGCCGCAGTTTTTAATTTTTTAGTTATTACTACAAAGACGCTGTTTCTCCGCCCCCAGCCTTTGATTCTCTCTCTTTCACCTCTTACGACACTTACGGTACGTTAAAACTACTATTCTCGTAAATCTTCCACTAATTTAAAATAAGAAACGACTATAAACTTATAGTCAATCGTCACATTATCATTAGTATTTACATCATGTAATATACAAAAATGTAGAATTAGTCGTGGTTAACAGAACCAAACGAACGCGCACTTAGAGTAAACAACAACAGACAAGTTTAAACAAAGGAGCTTAAAAACAACGAAAAAGGATAAGGGAAAACTTTTTTTGATTATATTGACAGGTATGTGTATATGAGCACTCCATGCCGGAAGTGCAGTTCACACAGCGCTCGGTTCGTAAAACACTCCTCTCCCTGGACATCCACAAGTCGAGTGGGCCTGACGGAATTCACTCAATTGTGCTGAGGACGTGTGCTCCAGAGTTGCCACCGGTTTAACACGTCATTTCCGGTACTCCTACTCTCTAGACGTAGTCCCAAAATCATGGAAGACGGCTTTCGTCCACCCGATCTCTAAAAAAGGTGACCGCTCAGATCCATCCAACTACCGGCCTATCGCCATCACCTCCTTGTTCTCCAAAACAATGGAGTCTATTGTTAACTGCCAGCTCATGAGGTACCTTGAGAATCACCAGCTAATTAGTGATCGCCAATACAGTTTTCGTCGTGGTCGATCAGCTGGTGTTCTTCTGATCTACCTAACTCATAGATGGGCGAAGGCAGTAGAGTCCAAGGGGGAGGCATTGGCCGTTATTTGGACATTGCGAAGGCCTTCGATCGGGTTTGGCACAAAGCGCTTCTTTCGAAGCTCCCTTCCTATGGGCTTCCGGAGAAATTGTGCGATTGGATCACCAGCTCTCTTGCAGATCGGAGCATCAAGGTCATTGTAGACGGTGTAAGCTCCGATTACAAGCCTATTTATGCTGGTGTTCCACAAGGCTGCGTGCTATCGCTAACGCTGTTTCTTCTGCATATCCATGATATGTTGCAAACCCGTAATATTCATTGCTATGCAGATGACAGCACTGGTGATGCCCTGTACACCGGCCGTGCCAATATTTCTCAGGAAAACGTCTCTGAGTACCGGGACAAACTTGTGTCTGAAGTCGAATCTTTGCTGAACAGAGTCTCAGATTGGGGGCGACTAAATCTAGCCCAGTTTAACCCTCAGAAGACACAAGTTTGCGCGATATCTCCTTAGTTTCAAGGCACTCCCCTTATTGCCTCAGCCAGTATCAGTATCCTGGGCGTCGACATATTGAGTGACGTGCAGTTTCGTGGTTACTTGGAAGAGAAGGCCAAATTGGCCTCTAAACAGGACAGTATTTCATGCCGGTACACCGCTTGCAACTTTACAAGGCGCAGATTCGGCCGCACATGGAATACTGTTCCCATCTCTGGGCTGGGGCTCCCCAGTACCAGCTCCTTCCACTTGACCGCAACCAGCGCAGAGCGGAATCGTCAACGACCGAGTGCTTTCCGATCGGCTCGATTCACTGGCGCTGCGAAGAGATGTTACATCTCTTTGCATTTTCTTTCGCATATACCATGGGGAGTGCTCTGAGGAATTGTTCGGAATAATCCCAGCCGCCAAATTTCGTGAACGCTTTATGCGGCAAAGGTACCGATACCATCCACACCATCTGGATGCTTGGCAGTCCATCACTGTACGTTTCACAAGGAGTTTTCTTCCGCGTACGACCTCTCTGTGGAATAGTTTACCACCGGCGATTTTTCCGGACCGATACGACCTGACAACCTTCAAGAAAAGAGCTTACTCTTTTCTAAAAGGCCGGCAACGCACCTGCGATTCCCCCGGTGTTGCGGTTGATCATGGGCGGCGGTAGTCACTTAACATCAGGTGAGCCGTATGCTCGTTTACACCCTCTTCTATAAAAAAAGGTAAACAATCAAAGGCATAACTTATCTTTTTAAACCTTTTTTTAAATGATAAGATGCAATTGTACGTTCATTTTTGTATATATGTACGCGATATGTTCGTCAATTGTCAACCGAATTTAATGATGCCTTTTTATAACGATTTCTTACATTTACGCGAGCACTACACATTGATTAAAACACTTTTACGGATTTTATCGCGTTTAATTTTAATTATTTTATTTTTAATTCCCGACGTTTCGGGTGCTTTCCAGCACCCATGGTCACGGGGGACTGAGGTGACTTACGTCCCGATGTCATTGTTAAACCCGGAGTACCTTCAGCTTTTTTAATTATTGTTTATGGTCCGATCTACGCAAAATGAACTGACTATGTCTTGAGGTCTTGCAGTGGTATGCTTGGGTTTAGTTTTAATTTTATCGATTATAGGGTCCGAAGCAGGTGGTAGTACCCAGCCGCTTTAAATATCAATAGCCTCACGTATCATCCTTGGTAGGAATCGGTGTTCTTTCGCGAGGATTTGTGGTCTATCAAATCTGATGTAATCGCCGTCTAGGATACTTCACATCAGCTATATGTTTTTACGTGGGTTCTATTTGATCTTTTTGTTTGCCCTATATAAGATAGACCACATTCACAATCAAGCTTGTACACTCCTGCATCTTGTAGAGGAATATGACACTTGACGGATAGAAGGAACTGACTTATCTTCTTCGGCGGCTTTTAGAATGTTCTAATAGAAGCTCGCTTCAAGATGTAGCCAATCTTGTCTTTGACACCTCTGACATATGGTAGTACAGCTGGCACACGCACGACTGTGGCCGGATTCACTCGGTCACTATGACTTAGGCACGGGACCCGAAGCTTGTTGTGCAGAAGTTGCTTGACGTGCTGAAGCTCGGCGGCCAGGTGTTTGCTGTCACAGATCCTTCGTGCTCTCTTTAACAAAGATTTGCCCACGGTAGCTAACTGTGAAGGATGGTGGTGAAATTCACCGTTTAAATATCGGTATTTGTGGGTCTTTTTTGTTAAGGAATTAAAAATAAAAATAATTAAAATTAAACGCGACAATATCCGTAAAAGTGGTTTTAATCAATGATGCCTTTTTTATAGAATGAGAGTAACTAACGAGCACACAGTCCACGTGATTGTAAGTGGATGCTGTGGCCCGTAGATATCTTTATCTATCCTCGATTAAGAATAAAATTCAAATACTTCTCACCCCTGAGAACTAAGTTGGAATTCCCCGTTTCCAGTAAAAAGTGTCTCCGGTTCTCTACACTTACCATACGAAAAACAATAGTACTGTGGTACCATACAAACGCAATATAGCTGCAGCGTAACTCTACCACGTATAAAAGTATACGGAACCTGTTACCATTTTGCGAATACTTTTAGCCACGTCCTTGAGAAGTTAACGAGGTCCGCATGTACAACGTCCGGTAAGATGTTATTATAAATTAATACTTAAATGTTAATTAAATGTACTGTATTACAAAAACTAATGACACATTTTAGAAAATTCTACTTTATTTTTTTTTAAAAGCGGCTGCTCCGGACGTTTCTAACGATCTAGTTAGGTCTAGGTTTTCTATTTTTAATGATATTATATTCGTTGTAATAATAATAATATATTTATACCGCAAATAATGGTTATTATTATTTACTGCCTGACTATGCTGCTTGTATCCTACACCTTTTAATGAGCAATTCTTGTATATATGTAATCGGAATCTCGGAAAAGGTTCCAACGATTTTCATAAAATTTAGTATCCGGGGGTTTTTGGGGGCAATAAATCGATCTAGCCAGGATTAATTTTTAGAAAATGTCGTTTTGTCCGTGTAATCAGGCAATGAAAAACTGCTACATTATAAGAACGTAATTTGGAAAGGAATTTTGACATTAATAAATGATCGTAATAGCTCAAGTGGATATCGGACTGTCGAGAAATCGCAGTGCCCTGTTTCGCGTCCTGTCTACTTTTTTCGAGCCCTTTTTTAGTATTTTTTAAAAATACAAAATTATAAATTAAACTAATTGCACTCATAATTTTTTATTCAAATAACCAGTTCAGTTTTTTTTCTATAATGTCAATAAAATAAAAATATATTATTCATGATTCATCAGTATATAATTTGTATCTTAATATGATTTCCAAAAAAATACCGAGGCAAGCTTGGTAATCCTGGTACCGTATACAAAAATAGACGAAATTAGTTATCTCAGGTGTGAATAAAAATATCATAGGAATTAAACCAAAAAATTCTTTATTGAGACAAAAAGTAATTATGACACATTGAAAGTAGACACATATTCGTATATTTTAGCACCATGGGTCGTTTACTTTGGACACTACGTACTCAGTGCGGGGCACCTGTTGCACGGAGTAAGTCAATGCTGATGGTGATGTTTGGGTGTACACTGGGCTGGAATAGACTTGAGGTACGGATGCGGTGTATGTTGTTGGGTACGAGACGTAGCTCACAGGCTGCGATTGATATGTTTTGTAGAGCACAGGAGTTGATACTGCACGGTACACGGGCGACACCTCTTGTGTCTGAAAATAGAAAACAATACGATAACATTGTAAGAACTTGTCGCATCAGTTTTGTTCTGACAAATTCAACGAATGAAATCCGGTGTTAATTCAATACTTAATACGAGGTATTCTTGTGCTCGTATATTGTACAATATGTAACTGTTGTATAAGAAATGGCTCCTACGATTTGGATGAAGTTTGGGATTTAATTTCTTACTAACTTATTAGCGTAACATCGGTCAATCCCTCATTGGTAGTAATACCTTCTCTATGGGAATTAGCTCACAGTATTTACATCCGCAACATGGACGTAATGTGCTTATGGCTGTTATCGTGATTTTAACCAATTTTAATGCGTCTGATATCCTTTTTAATTAAATTCCTTTTTTAATAAGTGTGACAAACGAACACGCAGTCCACCTGATGATAAGTGGATGTTGTGACTTATAGACTTATGATATATCTACATGTATCCTTGACTGAACCACTCCTAACACAAGCATTTTAAGCTAACCTGTCGTGAACCACTCCTAACACAAGCATTTTAAGCTAACCTGGAGTAGTTTACTAGAATATTAGTAATGTTTAAAGGCTGGCAACGCACCTGCAAATCCCCTAATGTTGCAGTTGTTTATGGGCGACGGTCGACACTTACCATCGTGTGAGCCGCACGCTCGTTTGTCCCCTCTTTTATAAAAAATATGTTGATAGCATTGCTAGGAATTAAAAATAACTTATTGTACCACATATTGTGTATTTGTTGTGTAGACAGCGGGGGAGTGAAGGCCGAAGCTCCTCTTGTCGCGACCTACCACAGAGGCGCTGGAGACAGCGAGCACCGCGAAAATAACCTGCGAAAAAATACAATAACTTAACAGATTTTAATGATATTCACATACTGCAATAATGTAGTTCAATGCGGCCAGTCTCAACGCAGACTAGCTATCAGCGCGGAACAGGATTATAGTGCCCAAGTGTATGCGCAAGCACACGTGCACTCTCTGACAGAAATCCCCAATTACTGATTTTGACCCGACCCGGAATTCGAATCCAGAATCTCATAATTAGCAACAACATTTACGAGCACAAGACCGACTAGGTAGTCCACACACCTGTTGTATGAGTCAGAAGACACATTAAGATGTTATTTATTAAAAGTATTAAAAGTATACAGCATATTCAACTCGTTCTGCACTGTGCAACAGAGCCGTCATAATGTATGGAATATTAATTTAATTTCTAAGATACAAATCGTTATCGACAAACATTTCCACAGAAATTGCATATAATCGCACCAACGGGTATAGGGGAGAATCACTCCACACTCCTATCTCACTTGCATGCTGCCCCAGCTGACTGATGGATTGAGATCTAATGGCTGACTTACGGCGGATAACTATCAAAAAATGCAAAATCTTAATTTTTAGTGGACGTGTAGCGGATAACTGATCAGTAAGTTTAAATGGCAATGGGCGGGCATATATCTCCAAGAACCGACAAACAATGGCGCTTTCTTTGCCATCGGTTCTTCTCAAATGGCAACCTCGTGCCGGTAAGCGAACAGTAAAGGGGTCGCCTACCAAATGGAGTGACAACCTGGTGTATACAGGAGGTCATTGCATTCAAGTGGCTAAGGAACGTGCATTTTAATATAGGTATGTGAGGCCTAGGTTCAGCAGTGTACGTGAAGAGCTGTATCGTGAAAGAGCTGAGAAGCCTACAAGGTGATAGTGGGCAGCAACACTACAAGTGCTAGATTCTTTTCGATCCCTACTACCCAGCATGGTTGTAAAGAGGAAAAAACTACTGCAATTCTCCAGTCAACAGTGGAAATAAAAAGATTTTTGAATATAATATGGGTAACAAACCAGCACACTGCCCAGCTGATGACAAGTAGACGCTGTGGCCCATAGACAACCACACGAAACACAGCAGTAATGAGCTGCTATTTTACGCTGGTCTTATGTGAGAACGTGGTCCTAACCAGGTTGAGTCGACTCATTCATGCTACAACCATAAGTTTATAGCAGCAGCATCGCTTTACCACCCATATAAGTCATACATTACATGTGTGTAAATTGACTACATCAACTACATTATCTTGATCTCAACATACTTAACCAACCTAATAAATTAAAATTGCAACTCACCAGAAACTTCATCTTGCTATAACTGTGGGAGGCGCTTACTGATTGAATATCAGAACTAATATGATACAAATAAAACAATTTTGTGCCTTATATAAGAAAATAGAACAGAAATAATAATAGCATACAAAGATTTATACTAGCACTTTGACATATCCTTACTCAGGTTGGCACCTGTTACTCATATATTGGAGCAAAAATAAAATTTTAAGTGATATGTGATTATGTTTAGCGTTTAGGGTCCCGCGTTCTTATAAAATTCATTAATTGGAGCATGTAATTAAAAATTAACACTTAAATTTTAATTAAATGTAATGTGTTACAAAAACTAATAACACGTATATGAACTTTCTACTATACTTTTTTTTAAAGCGGCTGCTCTGGACTTTTCTAACGATTTAGTTAGGTCTAGGTTTTCTAAATATTTTTAATTATATTATATTCGTTTTGATAATCATAATAATACATTTATACCTCAAATAATGATTAAAAGTAAAAGTGACAGCCTATATACGTCCCACTGCTGGGCACAGGCCTCCCCTCATTTCTGAGAGGGTTTTAGGGCAAGGAAGTGTCCGCCGCGCTGCCCCAATGCCTGTTGGCGAACTTCACATGTCTTCGCAATATTTTTTTCCTTATTCCTCAGATATGCAGATTTCCTCACGATGTTTTCCTTCACCGCTGAGCACGTGGTAAATCAGCACTTAAAAATTACAATTAACAATTTCATTGGTGCCGGCGGGGATCGAACCCGGGTTACTCGCGTTCTTTTATATTTACAGCGAGTGTTAACCATATGAGCTACCACGGCAAATAATGATTATTTTTATTTATTTCCTGACATGGTGCTGATGGACCGGGCACAGTCATGGATATTTTCGGTCTACATCACCATTCTGAATGACGAGAACCTCGTGAGAGCCGAAACAAACGGATAAGAAAACGAAATATCTGGGCCTGTATTTAATTGAACCAAACAAGCTCACACTTGGATGAAGTAACTGCAGACAAGATTAAACAAAGGAGCTTAAAAACAACGAAAAAGGAAAAGGGAAAACAGATCTTTTTAATCGTTAACGAAATAATAAGATGCTCGGCGCCCCCCTTTCTCCCAAAGGAGTTCGCGTTCGCTACGGCTGAATGATCTTAACAGGTTATAGCCATTCCCACCGGTGGTGTTTAGTGGGTAAGGCACTCCGGTGAGTCCCACATAAGCACGCAGCCGGCTGCGTCGTATGCATAAGCATTCACCACCTCCCTCCCCCGTTCACAGGGGGTGGCCCTTATATGCTTCTAGGCGCAAAAAAAAGTAAGGCGCTCTTAATTCAATTGTGCGTTCATTTTTTGTATGTGTGTCGCGATATCTCCGTCAATTGTCAACCGAATTTAATGATGCCTTTTTTATAGAATGAGAGTAACTAACGAGTACTCAGTCCACCTGATGGTAAGTAGATGCTGTGGCTCGTAGACATCTACGTTTATCCTCTATAAAGAATAAAATGCAAATACGTTATCACCCCTGAGGACTAAGATAGAATTCCTCGTTTCCAGTAAAAAGTATCTCCGGTTCTCTACACTTACCATACGAAACATAACAGTATTCTGCGGGAGAGTGATTCTTCTCAGGTCTAGCCGACCCATTCGATCTACATACACAATATACGTAGCTGGGGTATGGTTCTACCACATATAAAAGTCTGCGGAACCTGTTAAAAATTTTTGTATACTTTTGGCCACGTCCTCGAGAAGTTAACGAGCTTAGAACATCTGCATGTACGATGTCCGGTTAGATAAAAAGAACAACATAATGATTTAATGTTATTAATTTTATGCTTAATCATATGTATCAAAGTTATGCTCAAATTTTATGAGATTTATATGTGAAAGCTCATCATTTTTAAACAGACTGAAAGGTTAAAACAGGAATTTATAAAAAACTGATTTTGTATAAAAGATTATGTAGCGGCGCTGTCGTTGCGCCACAAGCGAAATACACCGAAGCCTAAATCACGCTATCAACATTCCGAATCATTTCCAAACAGCATATATAGAACATCTCCGAACTATCTTTTCCTTCCACGGCCACAGTGGTGACCATCCAACGTGATCTGAACACGCAACCAAACAACCTTCGGAAACTTCAAGCTTCATCATCGTCATAGAATACCCCACCCATTCGCTCCCGAGCAGATATCGTCTGCAGTCTTCATATCCTGCAAGCCATCTAGCTTCACAAGGTTCATCACAGCATTGGAATAATAATGCTTCCTGTTCCTTCAAGCTACTCTCTGCGCCATACAGTGTTCGGCACGACTCTGAGCCTTACTGCTCGCCTCTGCTTCACGGCACTCTCGCAGATTACTTGCCTTCTTCTCGACTCACCGTAGACTATAAGGCAATCTCCTGGCACTTGCACATTCTTCGACACCGAGACTGCACTATCGACCTCCGGTCTGAGCAGGGGGGTGATGTAGCGGCGCTGTCGTTGCGCCACAAGCAAAATACACCGAAGCCTAAATCACGCTATCAACATTCCCAATCCTAAACAGCATATATAGAACATCTCCGAACTATCACACGGAGCGTTGGCCGTTCCCCGGGCATAACACCTTGCCCGACGGGAGATCTCCCCTTTTCCTTCCACGGCCACAATTACAAGAAAATTAACAAAAAAAGTAAAGCAAGTTTAAAGGAATAACACTAGTTTTAAATGGAGTGGAAGCTGAGTTTTATCAGTTCAATATAGTAAAAAATTAATGCAAGCCCGTTGGTATTCTAACTTCTGGTGGTGTTCGGATTTCTGAAAAGCACATATCTAGCAGTAGTACATCTAGCAGTATGACTTCAACAGACGTGGCGTGAAGAGTGCTATTCGCTCGCATGTTAAAAAATTAACTAGCATAGGGAGCGTTTTTGTCCGACATAATGTTAGGGAGTGTAGTCAAACTTTGGCAACACATTTTGGAGCATAAAGTACTTATTTCTTGTATCTATACATATATTAAGAGTCAATCAATCAATAAAACAATCATTTTATTCGTTTTCACTGGTAAAAAGGTTGACAATATAATAATTTTATAGTACCTCCGTGAAATGCTTTAACAGCATACAAATTTATATATCTGTGGCCGTGGAAGGAAAAGGGGAGATCTCCCGCCAGGCAAGGTGATCTGCCCGGGGAGCGGCCGACACTCCGTGTGACAGTTCGGAGATGTTCTATATATACTGTTTATGATTCGGAATGTTGATAGCGTGATTTAGGCTTCGGTGTATTTCGCTTGTGGCGGCGACGACAGCGCCGCTACATCACCCCGCTGCTCAGACCGGAGGTCGTTAGTGCAGCCTTGTTGCCGGTGTGTCCTTTTAATGCCGGTGGGGAATGCATGCTGTGTGCGTAAGGGCAAGTGACACCGGTGCGAATGATATGCCGATGTGTAGTGCATGCCGTAGTACGCACTGGCAAGTGATGCCGGTGAGAACGATGTGCCGGAGCAAGTGCCAGAAGTCTGCCTTATAAATCTGCGGTGAGTCGAGACGAAGACAAGTTGGGCTGGCTTGCAGGAACTGAAGACTGCAGAAGACGATTCTCAGTAGTGAATGGTAGGGGTTGTTGAGGATAATGACGTAGGCTTGAAAGTTATAGTTTCCGAAGGTGTTTGGTTGCGTGTTCAGATCACGTCGAGTGGTCACCAGTGTGGCCGTGGAAGGAAAAGGGGAGATCTCCCGCCAGGCAAGGTGATCTGCCCGGGGAGCGGCCGACACTCCGTGTGACAGTTCGGAGATGTTCTATATATACTGTTTATGATTCGGAATGTTGATAGCGTGATTTAGGCTTCGGTGTATTTCGCTTCTGGCGCGACGACAGCGCCGCCACATATCCATACATCATAAAATCAAATATATATGAAAACAAATCAAAATAACAATTAAATAAAGTACAGTCAAAATATAATTATTGAATTATATATTTAAATTATTAGTAAATAGAAATTCATTGATATTATAATAACATTTATCTATAAGGAATTCATTTAGAGTAGATTTAAATTTTTGCACATTATAACATTTTATGTGATCAGGTAATTTATTATATAATTTATGGGATGGCCCCTTCAACAACAATACTTTTTTTCATAAGGGCAGTTTTACATACATTTGTCTGGATTTTTTGTTTTCTAGGACGAAGGTTAACCGAAGATGGTTGTACTCTTATATCAAAAATTTCCGGATTACACTTTACATACATACACGATTCTAGTATATAAATACAGGGTAATGTTAATATCTTAAGAGATCAGAAGAAAAAGAGAGAATGAAGTGTTTGTCTTTAATATAGAAATAACTGTCCTTTATTGAGCTCTGAGGTTACTTGCATGCTTTTAGGGTATGTCTGTCCATCTGTTCAAGCTCATCAAACTTACAAAGCAATATAATAAACTAAGAGTGATCTAGGCTAAAAAGGGAAAAGGCTATTCGTGATAGAGCCATGCTGCATGCATATGTATAATTGAAACACGAACGCATCTGCTCGATTGGGGTTGGACCAAGCTCTCACTGAATACCAGCGTGAAATAGCAGATTAATGCTGCTTTGTTTCGTACAGTGAGTGTAAAAACCGATGATGCTCTAAGTGTAACAATGTCTTGATTACACTGCCATCTTAGTCCTAAGAGGTAAACACGTCTGATTGATTCTTAATCGAGGAAAAAGGTATGTGTATGAGCCACAGCAATTCACTTACCATCAGGTGGACTGTGTGCTCATTTGTAACTCTTATCCTATAAAAAATTTATACGATGTTAGGTACTTGGCAAACACATCCCATGAGCACCTTCAATTACTTTCAGACGTAGAAAACTACGAGTTTTTATCAAAAAGATGCTGCTACACATCTCCTGTTTGAGATTCTCGTTGTCGCCTCTTGCGACGCACCCGGGATAAATCGCGTTAAGCTTAACATTTTTAAATTCCCGATGTTTCAGCACTTTACAGCACCCATGGTTACGGAAGGTGATTGAGGTGCTTGAGATCAGAAAATTTAAAAATAAATTAAACGTGATGAAATCTATAAAATTAGTTTTATTCCATG